ACTGCACGCGCATGCGTAGGGAGCGTGGGGGGGCATGCATTGCCTTCTGGGTGCTGGCACACAAGCGCAAGCAGATATTTTAACAGCAGATAGAGTTGGAAGGGACCTCGTAGGTCATCTAGTCCAACCCTCCACCCGAGCAGGAGACCCTACACCGTTTCTGACAGAGGGCAGTCCAGTCTCTTCCTGAAAGCCTCCAGGGATGAAGCTCCCACAACTTCCGAGGGCACCTTCTGTTCCATGGGTGGATTGTTCTCACTGTCAGAAAGTTTCTTCTTATTTCCAGATTAAATCTCTCCTTGGTCAGTTTCCATCCTTTATTCCTTGTCTGGTGCCTTGGAAAATAGCTTGACCCCCTTCCTCCTCTCTGGGGGAGCCCCTCCCCAAATATTGGAAGGCTGCTCTCCTGTCTCCCCTGGTCCTTCTTTTCCCTAGATTAGCCAGGCCCAATTCCTGCAACCGTTCTTCATATGTTTTAGTCTCCAGTCCCCTCATCATCCTGGTTGCTCTTCTCTGTACTTTTTCTAGAGCCTCAGCATCTTTTTAATAGTGTGGCGCCCAAAACTGGATGCAGTACTCTAGGTGTGGTCTTACTAAGGCTTTATAGAGTGGTATTAGTACCTCCCTTGATTTTGATTGTATCCCTCTGTTAATACAATTTAGGATTGCATTGGCTTTTTTGGCTGCTGCTGCACACGGCTGGCTCCTATTTAGCTGGTTGTCCACTAAGACTCCAAGATCCCTCTCACAGTTACTGCTATTGAGGCTGGTTTCACCCGGTCTATATGTGTCCTTTGGGTTTTTCTTGCCTAAGTGTAGGACTTTACTTTCCTCTACATTGAATTTCATTTTGTGAGATACGGCCCAGTGTTCTAGTCTGTCGAGATCCATCTGGATCTTGAGCCTGTCTTCTTGGGTGTTAGCTATTCCTGCCTGCTTAGTATCATCTGCAAATTTGGTAAGTTCCCCTTCTAGTCCCTCATCTAAGTCGTTAATAAAGATATTGAAAAGTCCTGGGCCTAAGACGGAACCTTGTGGCACCCCACTGCTTACTTCCCTCCATGTAGACTTAGACCCATTAAGGACTACTCGTTGAGTACGGTTTGCCAGCCAATTGTGAGTCCATCTAGTGGTGGTGCTATCTATTCCACTTTTTTCTAGCTTCCCAAGAAGTAGGTTGTGGTCTACTTTGTCAAATGCCTTGCTGAAATCTAAATATGTCCACAGTATTTTGCTGGTCTACTAATTTAGTCCCTATGTTGAAGAATGAGACTAAACATAGCGCACAATTTTGGCACAGGAGCGCAAAAAGATTAGCTACCACTGCCCTATATCATCATCATCATCATCTTTTAACAACACCATAATTTCTTGCGGGGCAGAATCTGGGCAACTGAATGGAGCCAAGTGCTTAGTGGTCAGATGCCCTTCCTGTTGCCAGTGTGGAGTTATATTCAGCAGATAAATTCTCATCGTGCCCAGAGGGAAATATCTGCCTCTGTTCAGGATCGAACTCACAGCCTCCTGATTGTGGCGAGAGCTCCACCTCTAGGCCAAGGCACCCCTCGATTAGATTCCCTACATACGAACACTAAATACAGAAGGCTGAAGAAAAACGACATGAACTGGAACAAACTCCCACGGAAAAAATCCTTTCGTGAACGTGAACATACCAATAGACACGCAGTCCTCGACTTACGACAGTTCACTTAGTGATCGTTCAAAGTTACGGCACTGAAAAAAAAAGGGACTTACAACCATTTTTCACACTTATGACGTTACAGCATCCCCATGGCCACGTGATTTACATTTGGAGGCTGGGCAACCGACTCACATTTATGATGGTTGCAGTGTCCCTGTTAGGGATACACACCCTAGCAGAACCTGCATGGCAGTCAGGCAGGCAGGCAAATATGTGAGACAAACGTTTTTGTAGCTTACACTCAGTAAAACAGATACAATGTGCTAGTTAAATAGTTTATTCCAGTAAGAGTTTTAGCATAGTCAAACAGTCCATATATCATACACTAGTTCAGTCCGTCCGGGGATTAATCAGTTGCAAAGTCCAGTGTCGAAAAAGAGGTCATTAAACTTACAAATATCAGTCCAGTAATATATCTCTTCGCAGTAGAGATATGAAGAAGTAAAACCTCCTTTCTTCCTTCAGCAACAGCAGAGAACACGCAGTTAACAATCCATCATCGTCAGCAAGCAATCCAGAAAGCCAGCAATCAATCCAGTTTTCTTGCTCCCTCTTATGGCGATTTACAGCCGCACCCAAAATTACATGCTTTGCAGTTAAAGTGACACACACTTAAACTCACTATCATAGTTTATATATTATTTTACCCAAACTACGTTAGGTAACCTATGTTATTCCTAACAGTCCCGGGGTCCCGTGATTCCCTTTTACAACCTTCTGGAAAGCAATGTCAACGGGGAAGCTGGATTCGCTGAATAACCGTGTTACTAATTCAGGAACGGCAATCATTCGCTTAACAAACATAGCCAGAAAAGTTGTAAAACGAGGGCAAAACTCACTTCACCTATGTCTCACTTAGCAATGTAAATTTGTTGCTCAAGGGTAGTCCTAAAGTTGAGGACCACTTGTATTGAATAAAATGCTTTTTTTTTTTTTTTTACTATGCATCTGTAGATATTTCTGCAGGCAAATGCAAATTACGTTGTCCAGATTTCCCCCCCCAGCAATCCTGGCTGTAAAAAGTTAAAAAAAAAAAAGGGAATTTCAGCAATTGTGACACTTTGATTCAGCCAGTTTCCCTTTTTCTGCCGTCCGTTTTCAGTGTTTCTGGGTTTATACCATAGAATCTGAAGTTTTCCCCCAAGTTCTTGTAAATAAAATTTGGAATTTTGGGGGGGGGGGGGGGGGGA